TATTGCCTGACTAAGATTTTGTTGGGGTTGCCAATTTGGTATTGCTACCTCAGTCATTACTCAGTTGGACACTAGTGTCAGGCAAGTCCAAAATTGACTACTGGGAACATGGCCGGGCGTTCGTGCAGCTCCCTCCGATGAATCTCAGCTCCCACGTTGCACTCCCGCGTTGCGCTCCCGTGTTGCACTCCTGTGTTGAGCTCCCGCGGGAGCCTCCGCAGCCAGAGCCGCCCCGGCCGCCTCTCGCCGCTCCTGGCTCCTGTTTGCCGCTTCTGGCTCCTGTTCGCGCCGCAGACTGCTCAGTCTCTCTTCGGCTCGCGGTTCCAGCGGCGCCCGGGCCGGGGAGATGACAGCCCCCTACCCGGGAGATACTGCTGTCGCCGGACTCCGAGTCCCAGTGGCGGGACTGCGCAGCCTGGCCTGGCGCTGAGGGCCGGTTGCCTCGCGCCGAGTGGCGGCCACTCCAGGCGGCTTCTTCCTGGGGAGGATTTTGTAAATTTCACAAAATGGCGTGCACTCCAAACCTCAGTGCACGTATTATGAGATTCTCCTTCAAGGTCTCAGCAATCCTTCAGAGCAATCCACCTGGGTAGTAACAGCTACCCCCGGCGCAAGCAAGGACACCAGAGATTCTGACTCACCATCAGGCTTTCTGAGTTCCTCTTCTTGCTGGTGGCCTCTGGGATCCTGCCGGCGCGGGGTGCAGGTGGTTCACTCCCTTCCCGCCGCTATGTTTCCTCCTCAGTCTACAACTAATAATCTCCAGGGACCTCATGTCTTACTGTCCTTCATCCCAGACGCTCAGCATGGTACCTAGAACATAGTAGTGGGGCTTTGTGTGTTGATTGAATGAACTAATGATTCAGTGAAACAATTTATTCTCTGTAATGTTTTAAAATTGATTTAATAATGAATAAAAATTTCAAAGAAAACAGCACTGGAAAGCAACAGGGTTTCTGAAATGTAAGAAAGTAGACACAGTGCACGGGCTGAAAAAAAAAGAAAGTAGACAGAAGCAGTGTACTGTAAATGGAGAAACAGAAAAACTGTGGAGTTGACAGGTTGGGTATGAATCCTGGAGCTGTCACATACTGAGCCTTGGTTTCCTCATTTATAAATTGGACATGTAGAATGGTTATATAGGACATGCAAGACAAGGGCTTAGTACAATGCCTTGCACATTGTAAGGACTCAAAAAATGCTAGTTAGCCACAGCAATTAATTCATCATTGAGAGGCAAGTGCTTTTTTTTTTTTTTTTTTTTTTTTTTTTTTTTTTTTTTTTTTTTTTTTTTTTGT